TAACGAATTACTAATTCGAAATTTCGGATTAGTAATCGAAATAACGAATTACTAACTCGAAATAACGAATTAGTAATACAAAATAACGAATTACTAACTCGAAATAACGAATTACTGAGTGAATTTTCAAGAGCCAGTACACATGTGACAAAGATGTGTTTGATCTTTGTTCGATATTATTGCGAGAAAGACAACTGTCTCAACCAAATAATCCTGAAGAGAGTCTGTATTTGTATAATGTTTTACGAATTGCAATAACTGAATTACTTTGAGAATGAAGCTATTTTTTTTCTCAATAAACAGTGTGTACAGTAACAGGTACAACAAAAATTACTGCAACAAAAAAGATATAAGTTTATACATAAAAAAATTAAAGAAAAACCTAGGCCTATAATTATTTTCAGCTGTCTCGATTTTAATGAAAATATTTTTTATTAATAATGCAAAAACAGACATTATACAGTACACTGTAATTTATGATAAACTAGACTTTTTTTTCCAGTATAGCTCAGCAAGAGCTATTTATTGAGATCCTGTGTAAATAGTGTTTTTCTTTCTTTTCTCACTGTAGTAAATAATGAATAGATTATTAAATATATGCCAATATTAAATGGACAATTATGTTAGTTCTTTTTATTTGTAACAACGCTATTATGACAGCATGATTCCCAACTAGGGCAAGACGTTACCGCGTCCGAACTCTCTCTCTCTCTCTAGGCCTGGCCTACGTCCTCGCTCCTGAGTAATTCGTTATTTCGAGTTAGTAATTCGTTATTTCGGATTACTAATCCGAAAATTCGAATTAGTAATTCGTTATTTCGAGTTAGTAATTCGAAATAACGAATGACTAACTCGAAATAACGAATTAGTAATCCGAAAAAACGAATTACTAACTCGAAATAACGAATTACTAATTCGAAATTTCGGATTAGTAATCCGAAAAAAACGAATTACTAATTCGAAATAACGAATTACTTAATTCGAAATTTCGGATTAGTAATCTGAAATAACGGATTACTAATTCGAAATAACGAATCACTAATTCGAAATTTCGGATTAGTAATCCGAAATAACGAATTACTAATCCGAAATTTCGAATTAGTAATTCGTTATTTCGGATTAGTAATCCGAAATAACGAGTTACTAATTCGAAATAACGGATTACTAATCCGAAATTTCGGATTACATTTTGATGATTTTATATACTTAAGTGGCACGAGTAGGCTTTTGTACTATTCAGTTCGTACCACGTTTCTATGTCTGGCTGATAAGAAGTAAGGCCTTGCTTGAATGGTTATCAGCAGAGGGGTGTAGGGTATTATATTGAATAGCTGACCAAAACCTTACCAAAAACAATGATTAAATGCCCCTCTCCCACTAGGGGTTTTGTCAGCATACGAGTTACAGGAGAATGCCGAGTTGCTAACTCGGAAAACTCGGCAAAAACTCGTAGGACGATTCGAAAATCTCGGAGCACTCGTAGCAGCTCTGAACTCGTGGCGCTAATTTTGAACATGTTCAAAATTATCGCCACGAGTAGATAACTCGTAGTAAACTCGAAGAACTCGTAGGTAGCTCGTAGAGTACTCGGGGTACTCCTACCTAGCTCGTACACTACTCTGGATACTCGTCAGCGGTTTTGTCATCTACGAGTTTGATGCGAGCACCCAAAAACGAGTACGAGTAAGTACGAGCGCACCGAGTTGGCTCGTACCTAACTCGTATCTAATTCGGTACAAACTTTTTATGCTCGTAATAATCTCGTAGTTAACTCGGTGCTCTGCTCGGCATAATTCGTACATAACTCGTAACCAACTCCATAAAGTCGTACCTCACTCGTAGCTAACACGTAATAAGCTCGTATAGGTCCTTTCCAAAGATCACGAGAATTAATAGTATTATTATTATTATTATTATAAATATTTTTTTAAGTTTTGTTTTCTATGGTATATCACACATATCAAGAGCTCTACGGTTGACAAAAATCCCTAATAAAAGATCATGAGAATTTTTTTTGGCGCTTCATTTTGACGAAAGGTAATGTGATGATGATTAGTTTTAATAAAGGTGTCATTTCTTTCCATCTCGAGGTACTATTTCCTCAAATTTTCGCACCTCAGCCCCAACCATGGTGGGTCTGACGTGGGTGTCGACCCACAAACTGTCCTCCCCCTCCACCTTTCAAAACAGATCTACGCCCTTCCATGAGTATGATAGTCGGCAGTAGGCACCTGACTCAGGGTATGTCTTAGACGTTCGTATGGCGAATATGTGGACAAACTTTTTAAAACAAATGATAATAAGAAACGATTCTGGGCATTTGTGAAAGAAAAGAAACGTACTAAGTTATCTTCTAAGTTTTAAATTAATCATAATGGTGTAAAGTACGAAACTCCTGAATTGATGTCAAACGTTTTTAATGATTATTTTGTTTCCGTGTTAAATTTTTCTGATGATTTACCTTCTCATCCGCCTTCTGGGAATCTTGATTATGATTTTGGCATTCCCGAATTAACAAACATTCAGTTTACCCCACAAGATGTCGAATCTGCTATCTGCTCTTTCTCGGTTTCATCTTCCCCTGGTCCTGACCAACTCTCTCCTAGACTCTTGCAAAAAAATTCTACCAATATCTCATTTCCTCTATTTTTCGACTTTCCCTCCTCTCTGGTATACTGCCTAAACCTTGGAAGCATTCGACTATTGTGCCAGTTTTAAAATCTGGGAACCCTTCAGTTGTCCAAAATTATCGACCTATTGCTCTCACCACAATTGTATGCAAAACACTTGAAAAGTTTAAAAAAAAATCTATTATATTGCATGCTACAAATTTTTCTCTTTTAAATGAGTACCAACATGGTTTTGTAAAAAGAAAATCATGTATTACCCAGCTTACAAACACGATTAGTAAATGGTCTCTGATTTTAGATAAACCCCGTCCACCTGTTATTGATGCAGTATTTCTTGATATGTCTAATGCCTTTGATAAATTGCCACATGACTTAATTTTAACAAAACTGGCTCTTCAGTTCATCCCTTGTGGCAGTGGTTGTCATCCTACCTAACTAAAAGGACCCAAAGTGTACAGTTTAAAGGAACTTGTTCCAGAAAACAGTACGCAACCTCTGGTGTGCCCCAAGGCAGTGTCTTAGGACCTGTGTTGTTTAATTTATTCTTAAATGATGTAACATATAATCTAAACTCGCATTGTGTCATGTATGCTGATGATTTGTTACTTTATAGGCCAATTTACTCTCCTCTCGATAACTAACTAGTCCAAGCAGATTTAAATACTCTTTGGGCTTGGACTGAATCTAATAAAATGTCCTTTAACGTTAGAAAAACTAAAGTGATGCATATCACAAGAAAGAAAAACTCAATTCATTATGAATATAACCTTAATGGCAAAACACTTGATGTTTTTAAAAAATATAAGTACTTGAGTTTTACGATAGATGATAAACTCACGTGGAATGACCACGTTGATACTATAGTCAGTAAATGCAATAAGCTATTGGGTCTGATACTATTTATTGCTGGATTTGCCTCAAGCCAAACATAACTCTCTCTATATAAGTCTCTGGTATTGCCTCACTTAGACTAAGGGCTACCTGCATGGATGCCCCAGACTAAAAAAACAGCGTATTCGTTTAGAGCGCATCCAAAAATATGCCACACGTAGAATCATGAGAGTTGGTAGAGGTAAAATCCCATATATCAGATTGAAATCCACTAAACTTTTATCGCCTGAATGCCGTCAGGAACTGATTTTAACTTCTTTTGTTTGTAAATGCCTTTTTGGTCATATTGACTGTTCAATAATAAAAGAATATCTATCAGTCAATACTAGACATCTAACCACCCTTACATTTAATCATTTGTATTCTCGTACTGTTTTCATCATTATTCTGTTACAGTACTTTTCCCCCGAATCTGGTCAAAATTGTCTGATAGCCTTAAAGATGTCTTGACCAGCGAGTCACTTAGATCCTTTTTAAATGCGCTTCATACTTATTTTCACACAATATAATTATGTTTTCTCAATGTAATTTTAATGTTTAAATTGTCATTTCTCTGGGGTGTTTTATTATTTTTTTTAATTTACCCTTTGCGTGAGCGTCATAACTGCATCAACTACTCCCCCTTTTTCCCGATAAGCAAATTGATAACTATCAATCACATTATTTATCTGACAATTGAATGCATTTTTTATAATTTTTTCCAAGCATTTCATTGGAATTGCAGTTAATGCCACTGGCCTATAGTCATTACAGATGTTGGGTTTATCATGTTTTGGTATCGGTTTGATAATGGCAGACTTCCAAAGTTTGGGCACTCGACACAAATCGACTGACCATTGAAATAAAAAAATGAAAAATAAACTTTAATTGAAAATAACATGTCTTCAAATCTTTTCCTGAAATAAGTTCAGGCTCTGCGGCTTTCTTAGACTTAAAATTTCTAAATGCCTTCTCAACATCACTTATGTTAATTGAAATATTATTTTCTTCTGTTATTGAACCTGTGACCACTTATCGAACCTAACATAAAAAGAATTTAAATCATCCGCCGTAATATCAGTATCTTCAACACTTGATGCAATTTTAAAGTTTCCAGTTACATTATTCATTCCTTTCCACACATTTGTAATGTCCCCTGACTCAAACTTTTCTTCTATGTGTTTTGCGTAATTACGCTTATCACTCCTAATTACACGTTTTACTTCCCGCTGGAGATGTTTACTAGCCTCAAATTCGCCCTTTCTAAACTTCGAATATTTTTCTCTCATTAATAATCTGAACTCCTTAGAAACCCATGGTTTATTATTTGCATAAATTTTAAAATTTTTAGTTGGTAAAATGGAATCTTCACAAAACTTTATATATGCAGAACATCGTTCTACTGTATCATCAAGTGAACTGTTTTTAAATATCTCCCAGTCAGTTCTTTCAAAACAATCCCTAAGTTTGCTAATAGCATCCTCCGACCACATTTTAATAGGTTTAGTAATAATTTTATGTTTTCTTAATTTCTGTTTATACTTCGGCAGTAACTGGATAAGATGGTGATTATATTTCCCGATTCCATTTCTTGCTTCCGACAGGTAAGCATCTGGTACGTTCCCGTAGCATTCATTCAATATTGTATCTTTCCTTGTGTTCACGTATTGATGCCAGTGAGGTAATGATTTTTTCAACTTGCAGTGATTGAAGTCGCCTAACACCAACTTCAGCGCATCTGGTGACTCACTCTCAAGTAGTCTCATCCTCTCTGCAATTTTTTCCCCGCGTCTATGCGACTGCCTTCTTGTTGTATATATGCAACTGTCACAAAGATCTGTGGTATCTCTCTAGGCAAGTAAAAAGGTCGTAATCTAGCACAATAAATTCAACGTCTTTACAACAATGTTTTTCAACAAACCTTGATATTTTTACACCAACGTTGATTTGTGTATGCGCAGACACCTCCGCCTCCATACTTCCCTACAGCCTCCAAATCTCTATCTCCATGTTGGCATGAGAACCCATCAATACTAACATTTGCATTGGTATGCTTATCTTTAAACCACGTTTCCGTGAAGCACAGTAGACTAGACTCTATAAAAGCTTGTACTGCCATACATGCTTCCAATTGATCAAGTTTATTACACAGGGACTGGGCATTTCCAAAGATAAAAGTAGGTAATGGAAGTCTCACCTTAATTCCTCCCCTTCGTCCCCTTTTCCGTGGCTTTTTGTAGTAATTGAGGTTCAAGTTGCTAGGCCCACCTGTACTAGGCCTAGATCTACTAGGCCTTAGTTGCAGCAGCTCTTCACGACTGTATGTGATTTTCACGGTTTGGTGGTTTCCCGTCGTCGCGACTTGAACCGGTACCTGGGCTGCAAGACTACAGTATAATTCACTCGAAAGGAAGATCCAACTGGTACACAGCCACAAACTGATCCATTTCCTCCAATTTATAATCATAATTATTTCGAAAGATATCAAAAACCGATGTGCAAAAACCCCCAAAAAAGACATTTAGTGCTTGATTTTACGTCAGTACGATGTCGCTTGTCTAGCACAGCGCCATCACTGACTTCCTATGCAGCAAGTGACTATTTTATCTAAAGAACTCAAACTATAATGCCAACGATAATAACATGTTTGTGGTTGGAGACTTTATTTTTAAAATTTTAAATGAATACAACTTTAAGCAGACGATCAATACCCTGTAGGCCTAGGGTGTGACGACTAAGCCTGTAAGATCAATAATGTATTTGATATTGAAAATAGGTAAAATATCGATATAATAATAATAATAATAATAATAATAATAATAATAATAATATTGAATAGACAATAACTGGATTTGGCATGTATAGGTGTAGTTTTTTGTTTTTTGTTTTTTTTTTTGCCTTACCTAACGTGAAATGTACTGAATACTCAGTACTTCTGAAAACAATTGCGAAAAACTCGCAAGTTGTTCTCGGGTAGGACTCGAACCCACGATTTCCAGATCACTAGCCTGGCATCATAGACCACTGAGCTTGCGCCTGATGGCCAAGGTTGAATTCGAGTCCAAGTGAGCAGCGGGTAGTGCAGTGTTGGTAGTAATTGTTATTGTCGTGATTAAATAGACAGTAGCTGGATTTGCGTCAGGAGAAACATGTGATGTAGGTGTAATTTTTGCCCTACCTGACGTGAAATGTACTGAATACGTAGTACATTTAAAAATAACTATTAAGGTGCTGCAAAACGCTAACGTTCCTGTAGTTAATGGGTAAATACATATTATACTTCTTGGAGACATGATTAGTGGTTTATCGTAATCTTTGATCAAAATACAATAAGAAAGAAAATTATCAAACTACCGTGCTAAGTGTCAGTATAGGCTTAATTTAAATTTTAATCACTGTGAAGCAGATAATATATATATATTTTTAATTTTCTATTACCAACTTAACTTAAATTTAAAAAAAAATACTAAATTCTCACTGAAAATTTCCAAGTGTATTATGTTGTTGTTGTATTCTGTGAATTGTTCTACTGTGGTCTAACTATATTTTTTGTAATACCCCCCCCCCCTACATAGAGATTCGCCATTGTACATGATTATCCCGACATGATATTGTCCGAAAAATAGAGATCTCTAAACTGTGTACCTCCATGTCGGGTATCATAAATTGAAAGCTATGTCGTCCCAGCTTTCTTTTTCTTTCCAAACAAGACCTTCATAAGACTCGATAAAGTGAATGCCATAAATATGAATACTCCTTGAAGACTGTTAAATATTACGAAGATGTACCAAATGTATGGTTCATCGGTAAATGAAGCAAGAAACCCAAAGATCCAAGTTAAGCCCATAATGCAAGATATCTGCAATGTAAGAGAAAAATCAAGAATTGATTTATAATTTGATTTTAAATGATGCTAAAATACATTACCCGACGATTATTTCAACCCTGGCTATAGTGTTTGGATTCCAACATACAGTATAATTATTCAGCATATCACACAATAATCTCAATTAATACACTACCTCTGATATTAATTTTCTCTACAATGTTCTCGGACCGTCGAATTTACAACTATTATATTAATGTGTTCTACGTGTATTGTTTGCCTTATTGAAGTAAATAATACAGTCAATATTATAAGTAAATAATAAATAACATATTCCATCCAATGATGGTTTCTCGGTGTTCACCATTTTTTTGCCTTAGTTCTAGCAGCCCTACTGGAAACAACCAAGTCTTTCTAAAAATTTGAAGGTATCCTCTACTCCGAGTTGGGATCTGTTGCACAACTTTTTAGACTAAGACTTAAAAAATGATCAGATAACAAGAAGATTGAAACAATATATTAGGTAAACGCGATCCAGTTTATTACCTTTATAAAGATGATGAGATTAGAAGTAAATTCTTCTTTTATAGAATTTCTGCGTATCGCCCTCGAGCTCCTTGTATTTTGATAAATTCCTCTAACAATGACGACAAACATAATGCTATTTAAACAAAGAATTGTCGCCATGGGAATTCCTAAAAATAGGAAAGCAGCAAACTCATCACGTATCCAACAAACTGTTTCGTCACCGTATGAAAATTGAATAGGTACACGGTCGCAGAAATGAAGAGTCAACAAGATAGCGACAAACAATAGTGGAAGTCCCCAACAACAAAACAAATGCAATTTAACTGATTGTTTTTTCTTGCGATTTGCTACAGCAGATTTCAACGAACGGAACGATCTGAACAATAATATTGACATCATCAGCATCCACACAAACGCTACCAACCATAAATAATGCAGAAGTGCTGCCATGAGAAAACACGCCTGTGTATATTCAACTAACGATTTTGAAAACAGAGTTCCAAGCTGGGCAAGAAACAATGAGGCCGCAATATTCATAACTATTTTACCAGAGGTTGTTCGAAGCTCTTTATAAATGCAACGAATAGCAAATGTTAGAAAAAGACCAAGAAGCGATAAAGAGACACCCACAATGTCTAAAAGGTGCAGAGTTGTGTCGTAAATAAACAGCGTTGATAAGTCTGTGTTGGTTCCGTTTTGAGACAAAAACGAACAGACAAGAACAGTTTCGTTAGAAATTATCATAATATCATCATTTGTAAACTTACGACCATTATTTTTGTAGATCCAGATAGTATTGTTGATGACTGTGAAATCGCTGGTACTCAAGGCAATGCGTGGACAAGTTGGGTCAGGTGTTTGACTAAGACAACTTGTTATTCTGACATTATTCAAATTCGTTGGTATATTTTCAGCCTTAAGTGCGATTTCTATTCGATAATGGCTCTCTGGTATTATGACCGTTTTATTTTTGTCTGTTATTATGTAAGATTCATTAAGTTTCACGTCATTCAACCTATTCATATTGAAGTCTAAACCATGACAGTCTTTGCTTTCGCTTGGTATTGTCACATTGTTCACCATTATACACATCTGTATAATTGTGATATTTCCCAATACATGCATATCATCACCATACATCTGTTGATGAATGATTTTAATAGCACCTTCAAAAATCTCACATTGTGAGGTATTAAAATGGATTAAAGATGTGAATGTACTGTTAAAGGATCTATGAATGACGAATGATATATTTTGAATCTGTAACCATGAAGTAATTTGAATCAAATAATCGTTTACTCTTGAAATATTAAGAAAGTTGTACAATACTTGAACGCTACTATAATGTTTACATAGGCACAGAAGCTCACTTGCTTGGTCATGTTGTATTCCGATTGGTTTCGAATTAGGTTTTCTGCAGAAATTTCCTGTAAGGACCTCACCAGGTTTACAAATGGTTGCAATACATTTTCCAAAATCTCCAATAAAGGGATTGAAGACTTGCCCAAAGCCACAGTTTACTCCCCTAGTTATAACTTTAGACCGTGGTGATTCAACACTTAAGCTTGAACCAGAGGAAAAGTCCAGTAAAATAGTAATTGGTATGGTTATACCGAAATCAGGCTCGAAATTGCCCGTACCAGTTTGCGAGTGGATTTGCATGTGTAGTTTTCTATACCATTACAAAGGGCGCAATGCGCGTTAGCGTATCTCGTCTCAAAATTGTCGTACACGCTTGCAATATATTTTTTGCATTCGTTCACTATATTAATATCTGGATAGTCAAGTGGACACTGTTTGATCCCTTCTGCACCAGAGCAGTATCTCCGGCTGTAGTTTTTAAGTGGTTCATATCTATACAAGCATACATCTGCACGATCAATTTCAGAAAGAATGTCTTTTAAACTGATTTGTATTGTAGGAGCCATTGTTTTTTTTGATTGTTTTGTTACGGGTTGATCAGTAGGTTCCTCTAGTTCTTCATTGAACAAGTCCAAGTTTTCTGATTTATATGTGTACATACATTTGGCGTAAACCTTCCATGCTACAATGTCCGTCATGGGCACACCATTACAGAGAGCGCAATATATGTTTAAATATGATAAATTAGAAGCGTCACTGACGGGAATTTTTAGAAGAAGATTGTCTTGATTGGGCTGTTCACAGTTTAAACGAATTTCTTCATCAACTGTTTCTGTACCACATTTAGTAATCAAGTAATAATACTTATCTATACAGACTGTACGATCCCATAATTTTGGGAAAGAATTCCGAACGTTGTTATCAGTATGCCTACAATGTGTCCTATAATCGTAACAGCAGTCACCGTAAAGCTCACAAAACGAGTCGCAGTGGCACATCGACCCATGTGTTGGAGGTGCTCCACATTTTCCTTGACAAGTTTGATGATAGTATAAGCAAATGTCAGTCATGTCATCATGCACGCTCTCCAGATTTGTATCTTTAGCAAGAAGCATATAATTAAATATAATTTATATTGTTTATGATGTTAATTCTAAAGTGTGATTATGTAATGTTTTCAAAATTATTTCTCTTGCAATATAATGTTTTTCCAACATTGGAAAATAATTCGAAAAATTTGAATTTCTTCCTGTATTATATATAAAGTCTCTATTGAAAGTTATTAATTATATTATAACATACCGATACTTACAATTACATTCCTGATATATTTGTGTATGTATTCTACCTCCACTCCCAGAAAAATATTTTCGTTTACATTAAATGACGAATAAATAATTTTAGCCTATATAACTGTAGTTGTAGGCCTATTTAACTTCATAATAGAAATAGATATGTTGCATAAATAATTGATAGTATCACAGATATTATATATACAGATAATATGAATTCGAAGTACATCAAAATATATACAAATATTTCATTAATAAATAATAACGTACACATCTTTCTAAGTAGAGATCAACTACATACACCTATAATGCCTAAATATAAACTCAGAAGGAGTAAAGTTCGTTTTGGTGGTAAGAATTCAATCAAATTATTTGACAGGACATTAATCCAGGACCGCTGGATTTTAAGTACCATTTAACCACAAAGATAACAATACTGATTACCATTTTACTTAATAGACCACTTCAAAGATAATGGACAAAAATGAGCTAATAAGAAATAACGAAGTAGTAATTAATATATTACTTATGAAGTAGCAAGGGAACGCTGATGTTCGAAAGAAAACATACTTACGATAATAGTAATAATCGTCTTCCCAAAAACTAGAGGTAGAATTAAAACCAACGCAAAAACCAAGATGTGCTTGTACAAACACCGCAATTAGTATCCATATTCTAACCACAAATGACGTCATTTCGTTCTTTTCAATAATTCTATTATAAAAGGAAGCAAAATTCAAATATATAAAAATATAGGCATAACTAACATCTTATTCTCAGATAGCAGGCTTCTTAGGAGAAATGCGAGGAATATTGCAATAAATGTAATTCTAGAAGCACGTTTTGCGTGGAAATAGAATAAAGAAACACAGGCCTAATGAAGGAATTATATTGTTCGTCAAGAAAGAATATATATATTTACAATTATGTACAATATTTTATAATATGAAAATAAAACAATAAAATAATAATATTTTTGTATTAGCAATAAAAATTATATAATAATATTTCATCGCCTTCCCAAAAAATGGAGCTAAAATTTTAACCTTAATAGGCCTAATTGAGAAATAAACACAAACGCAATGAAAAAAAAATAATTTAAATAAACAGGCCTATATTTTAATAAATAATGTATACATTATATAAATAATGCTATAATAAAACAATATAATAATAATAATATTGACAATAATAACAATAAAATAATAATAATAATAATAATATTAATAACTAGACTTACTCTGTCTGTTTGTACGTAAGGCTTTTTCCCATTGCTTTAATGAGAAATTAAATGAGAAATGGAGTTGAAATTGCAACAAAAAGAAAGTAGTTAAAACGTAACATGGAAAACAAAAAAAATTATAGTACTAAACAAATTATGGAAGTGGAAAAAAACCCAAAAAACAAGTTGACCGCGACGTTATTGAAACTCTAACTATGGCTGCAATGGTTATAGCAAAGTATATCGACTCATAACCATTGTGAGCATGAGCCGACCTTGTAAGGTCAGTTCATTTTAAATTTATAGCGATTCAATGACTGAAAGCAAAAATGGTTCATGCATATCAAGATAGTTTTGAGTTTAACCTAGCTGTAACTGGTTTAAGCGCTTTGAAAAACACAAATTACTTTTAAATAATTAATCAACTGTCCAAACAAATCTTTAAATGGTCATCATATCCACACCCTACTGAAGATCGTCAACAAAATATGATCATTTCTTTATTTTACCATGAACCGTGAAAACTCTTCAAAGTTTCAGTTTTATCCAATAATACTGGTAAGTAACCCTCAAATTTACAGCATATGCTGGATCATCGCCAACACATAACAATTTCTTCCTGTACAAATCGCATGACATTCAACACATCTAAAACTAAAGTAATGCATATCACTAGAAAAAAAGATCCAATAAACCGTACTTACAAACTAAATGGCCTACCAATCACTAAAACGAATGCCCATAAATACCTTGGTCTCACAATAGACAGCACACTGTCATGGACAGATCATGTAAACACCACTGTCTCCAAGTGCAATCAAATTATAGGTCTCATCCTAAGGGTTGCTAATGGCACTAACCAGCAAGTTCTGACCAATTTGTACAAATCATTGGTTTTACCAATAATTGAGTATGGACTACCTGCTTGGTTTCCACATTCAAAGAAAGACATGGAACGAATTGAACGTATACAGAGGTTCGCTTCTAGAGGTATACTAAAGGAGAAGCGAGGAGACACTCCATATCAAGCCCGTTTAGACACTCTCCATCTTCTTCCTCTCAGCTTCCGACGTGAATTTAATCTTAAATATCTTTCGTAATCAAATGCTTATTTGGAAAAATTGACTGTCACTCCATCTCAGATAATATCCATGTTAACTCCAGACACACAGACAATGTAACCTTTGTACATCAATTTTCTAGGACCATTGCTTATAGAAATTCACCTGTAAATCTATTTCCTCGTGTGTGGACCAAACTCCCTGCTGATGTGAGGAACTCAATAGTACTAAAAAATCTTACCAACTCTCTCATGGACATTCATAACTATTTTTCTGACAAAGATTTCTAAATTCTTCTTTTTACTCTTTTAATTATTGTATCTACACTGTTGAAATTTATTATACCATTAAGTTTATATGAACCTACTTTTTTTTCCCCTTCATTAATACTAAACTTATCTGTAATAAGATAATTTCGGTAATTTTTTCGGTAAATTTAATATAAATTATACATCAGTTATTACACACTAAGTAAGAGCAATTTTTGATTTAAAAAAAAAATTATGATAGGCCTATTTCTGTTATTTATTGTATTGTATTTAAATGCCTTTTATGTTTATATTTATTAATGGGGCAGCTGACTCTCAATGAGTTATAGTAAAATTTTGCTTAAGCTGCCCCATACCATATTTTTTGTTGTACTGTACCTTTTGTAAATGTGTATTGGTCGAATAAATAAATGAAATGAATGAATGAAACTTGGTTAAACTTTTCCGAATGTTTCATTCAGATCAATTGATCCGTTTTCGAAATAAGTGATCTGGGACGTTTTCCTTTAAATGGTACTCAGATCTACACCCTACTCCGGATTGTCACAAAAATTTAACAATTTCTTTACTAGACATTGACAAAGTTGTTATGATACCCATTGATTTTCTAAAGAGATATTTAGGTCTGGGTCCTAAAAAATTTAAATGACCCTCACATTTACACCCTTACTGGATCGTGCCCAACACATATTAATTTCTTCCTTGTAACTTGCTTAAACTTTCCCGAAAGTTTCAATCAGAGCAACTGGCCGGTTTATTGGTGTAGACTGTTTGTTCTTATGCTGTTGTTGGACTGAATGACGGT